TAGTCTTCAAGCATCCTTTAGTACACAAGTCACAAATGTGGCTTTTCACAAAGGGTGTTTCCGTTAGACAAGTGTATGTGACTGTGAGAGTTTTGGTCTTCATTTACCTATAGACTCTGAGAATCCACCCACCCCACCGTGATATCCTGACACATGCTACCGTCTTCTGAACCAGCCTTGTCAAGGTCTCTGGTGATGGACAGTTTGCTCTATACAGCTCACCAATGTCAGTACACTGTTGTGCTCCTTACCAGGCATTTGACACCCCACCTGGAAACACCCACATCCCTGGGCTTCCCTGATATAACTCTCACAGTATCTGTTTATTTTTATTTTATTTTATTTTTTTTTTTGTTTGAAAATAAATCTTTATTTTGGACTTTATAAAAAGCAATGCAGCACCCCATAGACTGATGTTGAATGTTGTCTACAGTGCAAAAATCCATGTTCTAACATGTCATAATTGCCAGGAGAACAGTGCTCTTGTTGATCTTGTATTCAGTCAGGTTAAAACAATGGACAATAAAAGAATGAACACATTCCTCATGTGCGTGATTCACTCTTGTCTAAATGCCCCAACCTGTGACTGCCTTACTTTCTACACTGCTAGTTATCCAAGATCTTGCAGAAATACTGAACCTCTAATAGACCATCCTCTGGCAGATCCGTACAGTGGACAGCATTCTGGATCTTAGTTTTACCAAAGATTGCTTGGAGGGTTCCAGGGCGTAAATGTCGGGCAATTTCAGGATCAGCAGGTCCACAGAATTCTCGAAATGTCATTGTAGGATTAGTTTGTTGAATCTCCATTGCTACACAAGGCCCAGAATACATTTCGTCACCATTTCATTATACTCAGACACTACTCCTTTATAAACTTCATAAAACTCTTCAACATTAATCCGATCCATGTTAAACATCTGCATAGCTGAGATTTCAAAACCTGCATCTCGGATAGTCATCAGGATCTTTCCCAGAAGTCCTTCGCTGACAGCATGGGGCTTAACAATGCAACAAGTAGTACAGTTGGTAAATTTAGCAGTGTTTGCTGGCCCACACACTCCACTCGAAGGAAAAAATAACTCCATTTCTCTGGCAGCACAAGCTAAAGAATCAGGGCCATGAGTTGCATTCTTTATGCCATCTGTTCCAAAGAGGGCTCTAATGCTTTCAGGAGCATCTGTACGTGCCAGGCCAGAGTTTGAAGGTCCAAGAAGTCTCTTCCATTCACATATAGCATCATCTCGTAAAATCTCCATGGCAATTATAGGTCCACTTGTAATAAACTGAATCAGCTCATTTAAAAAGGGCCTTGACTGATGGTCTATATGAAAATCTGTTGCTTCTTTCCTTGATAGCGTCATCATTTTGAGTTTGGTTAGAGTAAATCCAGCTTTGTTTATTATTTCAATTATTTCTCCAGCTTTTGACACTGCATCTGGTTTAATCAGGGCTAATGTTTTTTCTTTCCTACTGCCAGGTTGGCGAGCTGTGTATTGATCTCCATAGTCAAGCAGCACCAGTTGTCGAGAAAAGATGTTCACTTTGTTGCCTATAAATAAATCTTCCAGGTGAAGGTCTTCATATTTTGTCCGCTTTAAAAAGGTGCGATGATTCTTTACATCATGCATTTCAACAGATCCATCCCCGGGGTAAAAT